TTTTTTTCGCCTGTTTTCTTCTCAACATTCACCGGAGCTCGAGAAAGAGAAATACAAAAAAAAATTAATCGACTTTAGTCTTTCATTTGCTTCTTATGCTCCTCTTGCCACTGTTGCCAAATTTGTTTTTCTTTCTTATGTTCTTTATAATATTATTTGCTTTTGATGGACAATAAAAAAAATGAGTGTATTGAAAGGAAAAGAAAGAAGAAGTGCTTTATGGCACCGGGAGTCGTAAAAAAATTATTTCCGCTTTTATATCAATCGACGAATAATTTTTGAGAGCTAAAATGTATTGGATATGGCAGTTTGGGATTTGAGTTGTGATGCAATGGGAAGTTGTGGATAATTTGTGATAGATTTGCTAATTGTTCTGAGTCGCAGAGGAGCTATAATCTATTGTACGGTGTTTAATTAAATATTTGAGGTCTTTTTGAAAGACTAGCTAGCTTCTTGACTGCCAGGTAGCTACTGCTTGACAACTTGATTGCAAATCTTTTAAATATGTAGTCATGAATCATGTGTATCTGTCAAACGGCTGCAATAAAATCGACGTATGTGCTGTCTAGACTACACTTTAGTTTTTTAGAATGCTTGGAATTTTTCTAGACTTATGAAGTTATTAAGACTACATCTATCTTCGTCTTTTAGACATAGAAACTTTATATTTTGTTAAATATTGAATCTTAATTGCAGTTAAATTAATAAAATTTGCAATAATATAAAAATTGCAAAATACTAAGGGATCGAATCTTATAAAATTAAAAATTGTTGCACTGCTATTTTCATTATCGATTCAAGTTCAAATCCTTCAAAATATTACAAAACTCACCATAAATCCACATAGCAACCTGCACAGCTATCCATAAAAAAATTATTTATTACCGATACATGGAAAGTGCTGAAATCATGTCAAGTGTAATGCATGCACATCCATGTATTATTGGCAATGTCAAACATTCGACAGCAATCAAATGCCAATCAAAGACTTTATTTTCTGTACTATGAGCGTTATGTAATCAACGTAATACTATTTCCATCTCTATCCTGCATCTTTTGTGAATCGTTAAGTAAAACTTTTCCGTGAATACAAAGCTGAGCCCCTGCATTGTGTCTGTAACAGAAAAAGACGAAAGAGCATGAAAGACAAGAGAAGGAAAATTTATGTTTGCGATGATATTGAAAATTGCATGGCTTGCATAAGTGTATAAGCCGCTACTGTCACGATTATAGCACGGTTATATACATCTATATGCTCGAATACAAGTTTTTAAGGAAATTTCCATTTAGTTGCGGCTGTTTAGCTTCTCTAGTGACTCTGACCCACTGACACAATTTATTTCATTTTCAATGATTACTTTACATTCTTACTCATACACACACAGTCGTAGCTAAAGCTTTTTTTTCTTTTCGAGGTCTGACTACACATAATAGTGACTATTATTCAAACAACAAAAGTGGATTCACTTTTATTTCAAATTTATTTAATATAAATAATAAATAATAATGGAAAAATTATTCACTTTCCTTTGTTGGGTCTTTATACTTTTTTATATTTGTCAGTTGCCTGTATTTCATGAAGGTAAATCGGAATCAAAAAAGTTTTGGTTGTGACGTCACATGACACAACGCGTTTGCCACGCATTTGAAAACTTTCACTTTTTTTCACTACCTCGTCTTGCCGCTATTAATGATTTCTGGCTGTTACGGATTCCAAAAAAATAAAAGTTTCTTTTTGGTCAATTACATCATCAGCGTATTTCCTATTCGTAATTATCTACCGAAAATCCATTACTTCCGAATATCAATTTGATGTGAAAATCAATTATGTACGAGTTGATAGTCGTACAGTACAAACTTATCTTATCAGCTACAAACAGAACATTTTTAGATGTCTCGTGGCACCAATTCTATTTTTTCTATGTGTACTTTTCGGCATTGCCGCTTTGTTATCAATTATGTTAACGAACGACGTAGGTGGCAGACAACCTATTTATTTTATTTTAAGGAATTTCAACCTGATGCATTTTTTCGGATTTTTTTTTAATTGGATCAGAATGAAAATAAAAAAAAAACATGTTAACGACGATGATAATCCTGTTGAGTGATTTATGGATGTAGATTTATATCAGTTTAAAAAAGTTTTAATACTACTCATCGTAAACAATAAAAATGTTGATTAAGTGAGGATGGGGTTTTGAAGGATTTTGGTGCATTTGTTTTGTAAAAATGCATGGTTGCATTTTTAAATGTGATTCAAGATTTGAATAACGGCTATTCTGAATTTTATCTTTCAAAGGTTATTTAAAATTTGAATTTTTAACGACGTTTCAAAATTTGAATATTAATGGAATTTAAAATTTTGAATTACTGGAATTACTTTAAAATTTAACATCTTTTGTAGTCTAGCTACATCTCAGTCCTTTACATCATCTAGTAACCCAGACAAACTGTTCATTCCTTCATCCAATAACTCACAATAAACATCCTCAAACGATAAAAATTACGTATCCAAAGTAACAATATTCTCATGGTCGTTATAGTAACAAAAGGAGGCAAAAGCAAAAAGAAGAAAAGAGTCCATGGCAAAATGAGGCAGCTCATTTGTTAAGAGCGATAATCTTTTGATGATTTGTGCAGAAAAGGGAACTGAAAGGAGAAGTTGGAATTAACAAAAAAAAATACACGACACAAAATCGATTGACATTATTTTTATTTTTATTTTCTCGCTTAAATGTTAGTCAATTAATAATGAGATGAGATCACGCACAGAGAGTAAATTGGTTCAAAATGATTAATTCATTATTAGGGTTTTTTTGGGTTCCTTTAACTTAAGATATATCCAATATTAATTGCTACGATAAAAGGGGTTTGGTTTCATTCGGAAGTTTTTAAAAACATTTATTATGAATATCTACAACATTGCTTAATTAGGATCAAATTATTTATTCAATTGTTTTCAACACAAAACATCTGTATCTATTTTATTTTCAACCCAACGACTGCCTGTTGAAAGTATGGACGAAAATATTTTTAAAATTATCTCAATTTATATATTTTTTACGTGACATTCTTCAACAAAAGTGAGTAATGAGATATCTGTTAGACTTGCCTGAGGTATAAAAAACTATTCATCTCATGCTGTATAATTAACTTGACGATTAATAACTGGTAATAGTCGAGGACGTAATTTGTAGATTTATTTATCGACTATTCAAATCATTTATTAATTATTTTGTAAGAAAAAAGGTTGTTTGAGGATAAAAGCTTTTAAATTTGGGTGCTGTGACACACTTGTGCTGTCTACACAAAATATTAAAGTATTTCGTGACTCGTGCTTCTTGCCGTGGTACTTAAAATGCTGTAAAAATGTTTGATTCAAAATATTTTTCCAGTTGTCCTTAAATTTGCAAATTAAGGATGAAATTTCAATAATTCGAATATGTGAGGCTCTAGTAAACAATCGAGGGTATTGAATCAGTTTGATACTTGGAAAATTTTGCATTCCATTTAAGTTGTACTCAAGTTAACCGAATTTATAGATTTCGAGCCTAAACCAACCTTCTCTTTTAAATATACTCATGCACATCACTCTCCTAATTGTGTGCCACGCTCCAACAATTAAAATTCAGGGAATGGCTCAATAAAATTAAACAAACTCCAACTTCCTCCTTGAATTTTAATAGCAATTAAAAAAATTATGAATTCATATGCAAATCGACATAAAAGCTCAAACACACAAACTCTAAACTCATCACCATTGCATCCCGAATTCCCTTAAAATAAATTAAATTTCCGACCAGCCAGCAGCGACACAAGCAACGACATAAAATGAAAATGATGATTAAAAAGCTTAGTAATTGATATTTTATGCTAATTTATGACTCTGTTGATTGCCTTAAAACTGAATTTATTGCGAAAGACACAAAAAAAATATAAATAAATAAAAAAAGTTTAGACCTGCATGTTGATAAGGCTAAGTTGAATCTCCATTTCTATCTATAAACACATATTGTAAGACATACAGTATCTTATCATGACTGTCACTCCATTTCTGTTTCGTTTACTATTTTTTTTTTGTAACCACATTAAACTTGCTCTAAATAATTTTTTTTATTGTTATATTGCTTACGAGTATAAATAAGTTTCGTGTACAAGTGTTTGTGTCATGTTTAACAACATTTCATGAGAAATTATTATTTATAACAAATATAGAAAATTGGAAATGGAAATCATCTAAATGTAATTTGATTTTATGTCAAATGTTTAGTGTTCGATTTACAAATGTATGGAGATTTTATGCGACATCTACACACATGCCGCAAGAAAAAAAAAACTCGATATGAGTGGAAGTGATGAAGGAGACAATGAAATTAAATTTTTGTTTCGGTCTCTCTTGCTTACTCTTGGTCATTTGTTGGACGCTGTTACATTGAATGTGTGCCAATTGCTAAGTGCGTGCGAGGATTGTTGGCTATTGAAGCTTTTTTGAAGTTAATAATAAAATTTGAGGGATATTGAGGCTATAAAGTCAAAAAAAAAACTTTAACATATCCAGAAAATACATCATTAATTCCTGCAATGTAATTAAATTGCACCCTTTCGACACTCCCTGAATCCACACGTAAGGAATCTCTTTAAAATAACAAAAAAAAAAGCTACTTCGAATGTAGTCTCGTTCAGTCAGCTAGCTATTGGCTACATTGTATGTAATAATGTATGATATGTGGCTGTTTACATCATACAATATTCGAACATTTATAAGACGTAAATCCATAAATTAATTGTAAATTTACATAAATGAATGCCTGAACGTTTTGACTTGTAAAAAAATATATTTACTTCTTGCGGGTACTTGTGCGATAACCTAGCAATACATTGCTACGTAACGGACGTAGAAACCTTTAAAATTCTGCAAAAAAAGAAAATTCAACAACAAATTTAAATTAATAATTATAAAAATAATAATTTTTGTCTCATTTTCTTGTGTATTTTATAGGCTTGGCCCACGTGAACTTGCTCTACCCGTCGACTGGATCAGTGAAACTTTACCTCCAAATAACACAACAAATTCATCAATCGCATCAGCAGCACAATTGTCACAGCAGCAGTCAAAAATAATGAATGTGGTAGTACCAAACGTGGCATGTACGCCAGCTGCTACTAAAAAAATACGAAGAAAGCCTGAAAATAAGGTGAGTACTGCTGTAAGTTCAATAAGATTTATCTAAAATTTGACATCTGTTTATCATGTCATGCGTATCATAAATTCATCGGCTGCAAAAAAATGTGCATTAATTTTAATGATTTTTTTTGTTTCTTTCTTTTGTCTACCTTTTCAGCCTCAATCACAAATTAATAAATGCAACAATGAAAAACGACGTCGCGAACTAGAAAACGAATACATTGAACAGCTGGGAGAATTTTTGCAAATTAATAAGCGGGATATGACCGCATGTAAGCCCGACAAAGCTGCAATTTTAAGTGAAGTTGTTAAAAAGGTGAGTTGGACATTGAATAAAGTTTTTTATTTCGCCGTCGGTTGATGTTAGAAAATTTATGGCTCAATTTTATTTTTTTTGGTAAATTTACTGTGGAAAAAATAATTTTTGTTGAACTAGAATTCGACTTTAATTCATATCCTGCAAGACATATCCCAACAAAGTTCATTTCCAAAGATCTTCAACTCTTTGCAAGTTCACTTGAATTAAAAAAGGCAAACAAATTGCTCATTTCATTCATAAAATTGATGCGAATCAAGCAATTAATATAATTGTATATACTCAAAAAGCAATCGAATATTCATCAGTTTCCGAGCTATATAAGCAATTGATTTAATTTAAATTTATTTGAAATCAATTTTGATATTTTGTATCAATTGTTTATCTATAAATAATTTCTATGAAGTAATGCCGTCATATGCACCTCAAATGTGAGTCTTGGTGATGTCATAAAAAAGTAGATTGGCATTAGAAATTATTAAAGTGTTAATATGTTTAGTTGGAATTACAAATTTTTAAAGATTTTTGAGGTCATGATTCATATGGTTTTGGACTAGGATTGAGATCTATGTCACCAAAAATGTGTATTTGCGTCCATAATTATGAAATTTTATAGTTTGTCAAGATTATTAGACAAATGTATTCCAAAGGAGGTCCTAATATATATTAATGAGGTCAAGGGATGTATGCATCAGAAGATTAAACTGCGAAATCCATGCAAACCTCCTAAAGCTACTCAAAAACTCTCATATCTCAAAGATATCATTGGCAATAATACTATCAGCCATAAAAACATCTAAATTAGTACCAAAACGATCCACAAATCCTCAGTAGCATATGTCACATTACCTCCAAATACCTGAAATTATGAATCTATAATAAATCGATATTAAGGCAAAAAAATTTGCATCCAATTTGAATTCCTCATGAATTTTTATTCATTCATTATTTAATTTCTCGCTTGAAAACGAGATGACGAGGTGTCGATTGTTGTTGACATTAAAACTAAAATATTTCATGGCTTTTTTTTGTAACAGTCACGAGCTATTGGACTCTTTATTTTACTGCAAATTTGCTTGTTTAACGATTGTATTTATGGAAAAAAAAAGGGAAGGAACGTGATAAGTTTTTGTAAATTATTTTCACTAGATAAGGAAAACTAATTTGTATTTTTTCAAACCCTCAAAAAAAATAATTCAAGTTTGCCATTTTGCAATTTTTTTTTTAATTTCATGCTCGATTGAACGCTTGCTTGCATGACAAGATGTTACTTCCGATTTTTTCTTTCATTATCAATATGCATAATGCATATGTCATCATTCAACATACTTAAATTAAATTAGGTTAGCATTAATTACAGTTTGCTAATTTATGGCTTATAAAAATTGAGCTTAAAATCCAATTGCATCCATATATCGTCCGCAGGAAGAAGAAAGTCGATCGAAGGAAATAGAATTAAAATGGTTAATATCAAACACGTTTTATGGTTTCCTCGATTCTTCTCTTTTTACATACTTCATTTGAGTCATGATTGTGTTGCTGAGAGTGCACACATTCACACAGTGCCGACAAGTGAGGAAGAGAAGTAGAAATCAGAAGGAATGGAAGATTGTCTGTAGTTTTTTGTTGGGTTATTGGCCTGCTTGTGCGCATTTTACTGGACTAAGAATGCAAAATTTGACTTAATGTTCTTGTTGCTCAGTGATGTTTGTTAACTTCAATGTTTGAAATTTAATAGAGGTTATGGAGCTGATGGGATACTTCTGGATGTATAAATTTTGGTACCGGCTCAAAAACTCATATCTTAGTTAACTCCTCCATTAATAGATATTTTTTGTGGCCTTAAACTTAGTCAGACAAATCTCATTCTATCAAAATATCCACAAAATAGTGACTCAACCTCCTTCAAACTCAAAAATTACAACTCAAACCTTTTATATCCACATCAAGTTCACTTCAGAATCTCTCGTCGAAACGAATTCACTTCATTCATTATTTCCACACAAAAAAATACGCATCAACAGGCATAGAAAAAGAAGAAGACGAAGCGAGAACTCAGAAAATTGAAATTTGATGTTTTAATGCTACTGTGTAAATGAAGGTAGTGCATTATCTCTATTCTTAAATTACATAAATAATTTACACACACTTACAACCGAATATGCAACTTGCTAAGGAAGTGAAATTGATTGAGCATCCTTCGAGGCAACGTTTTGCAATTAAATTCAAAGAAAACAAAATAATGAGGAGGCAAAAAGTCATTTTGCGCGTTTGATCAAAAATATCGTTATCAACATAAATGTTTTGTGTGACTTTATAAATATAGAATTCTCATTTGCGTAAGCTTTTGTACTTTTTAAGAACCAATCTCGAGAGAAATTTTGATCATATGCTTCGATTTTTATTTTTCTAAGAGTTCTCTAATTTTAGAAGATTTTAAATGCTTCGGGACTGTACTAGAACATATGAGTAAAGTCATGTAGGAAGGATTAAATTCCAGAAGCTCAAACAATTTATTTCAATATAAACCACTCGAATAATTCTCTGAATTAAGCCTTATTCATCTTCTACCCTAGCTTCCTGTTTTAAGCCATCCATAATGATAGAAAATATTGATCCGTAAATATTCTTAATTATCCAAAAAAAAGAGACAATACAAAACTTGACTATTATTCGCGATATTTTTGCAAATCTATACGACTTTTTAAGACAATACGAAACTTTAACAATGAAATTATCAAGATGTATACATTAATCATGAATTAAATTCACTTTTTATGAAATCGCCTTTGCTTTTTTGTCTTTCAATTCTCTTTCTCAACTTGAGTAACAAAGTTTTAGGCACAAGACGGCACAGGGGCTAGTTTTTTGAATTGTAAAATATTAAGCAAAGTGGGATTTTGTTTTGTTCAGAAATCACTGCAAATGAAATGAAAACTACAACTTATCCTTGGTACAGCTCTGTGTACGGCAAGATGAATGATATTAAATTGTCGTGAGATACGTAATAAGAATGAGAAATAGGAAATCACAATGACTGTGGATGATGAAATTGGTTTTTAGTGGCACGATGCTTTTGTTTGAGAGATTGTTGGGCGAAAATGCAAATATTTGATTCGGAAATGGTGAAATTTTGAAAAAAGCTAATGCATTGCAGCTTAATGAGCTGATCGCTGGTGTTTTTATGGTCAATAATGCAATCTTATATGAGATGCATTCGCTATCTTTACAAAATACTCTGTAAGGTGTCTTATCATGCTCCAGTTTGGATGAAAAAAGTGTCCTTTAATACTAACTTAGAATAACTTCAGCTGCAGCTCTGTTCGCAACTTTATAAATTTAAAATAATAAGTTAAAATTTCATAAAAATTTCCATCCAATTTGTCCATAGACAGCACACACTCCATCAACAAAATACCTTAAAAAAATTATTCAAAACACTCAAAATAAAATTCCAGCATCAATGTTCAATAGATAATCAGAAATAATAAAAAATCAGCAATTCACATTCGATGAAACATTCTGATTGCAAACAGTTCACACGTAAATTTTAATTCAATTTCTTCAGAGCATTTATTCATCTTCTCCGCTTCTTGAAATAGATTTTTTTTTTTGTATTAATAATATTATATTCTGTTTTGCTACACGAGGAACGTCACACAAATATACTAAGTGCACACATAGACACTTATAAGTGAATCAAGATTTGATTTATTGTTGATTTGTGAAAATATCTCTTATCAAAAGTAATGCGTTTAACATAGTCGTAAGTGATTTTGAACACAACACAGAAAAAAAATAATTTGAAATTAAATTCATCGCTTCCATTTTTTTAACGCGAAAAATAAAATTGAAATAAAAGTAAAGTAAAATAGAGAGAGAATTAAGAGGAAAGAAGAATGAAGGCAACAAGAAGATGAAAACGAAAAGAAATTATTCTCGTAGAGACAGATTGCATAACGAATTGCGCTCCGCGTTGAAGCATGATGAAACTGGATTTTTATATTCATTTTATTCTATTTTCCATTTCAATATTATAAAAAAATATACATATTGATATTAAGGCTCACGGTTAAGAGTTCTTTAGTTGTATACCGTGATCTCACTTTTATTGTTCTTTTAGAGCTTATGTTTTAGGGTTTCTTGTAGTTCGGATTGTGTGATTTCTCGTGATTCTTGATTACGATTAATTGAGTTAACCTAAGATAGTTATAATGTTTAAAATTGCTTTATATAGCTTGAGATACTCTTAATTCCTATTTTTTGAATAGAAGAAATTAAAAAAAATGAAACCAAACTTGCTGCAGCAAATAAAATAGACCCAATACCTTATCACAATGTATTTTTTCAGTTCTACAAGCTAACGCTTTCTGAAATGCTGACTAGAAAGATCAATTATAATCATTAATCTTTATTTTTGCTTAAACCGTCACTATAAGAGGCTTCAAACTGCAAAACTGCCCTAAGCTGTATCTTACTTACTTACTTACTTCGCTGGTCGAGTAAGCTGTATCTACTTCTTAAAAATAAAGCATAGTCTTTAGAACTTATCTAGCATGAGTGAGGTTATTTCAAGGCAGAGTTTAATAATAATGTGTGAAGGGTCCACTTTTTAGCTAGAGGCACTGCTAGCTAGATTCAATTTGTAACCATACCATTTAGACCTACAGTTCATAGTGGGATCCGAACCACTTGCCAGCTCTTGTCAGAGTTTAAAGTCATTCAAAATTTTGCATTAAGAAGTCAATTCCAACTTTTCTTTGAAATTCGAACGAACTTAAAACTCTGCTGCAAAGTATATTAAAAAAAAGTGGTCGAAAAATTGATTGCAAGGTTTGAACGTGACCAACCAACCAACATAGCAACTCAATAAAAAGCGTGTAAAAATAACTTTTCTCTGAAAGACTCGTTTAAAGATCATCTTGCTGAATAGACAGTTGATTGCATGTCCTATCGACTGCTCAGCCGAATTAATCTTTCATAGAACTACTTAGTCGATTCGTTTATGAATCAATTTCTAGGAACTGTTGATGAAAAACTAAGTTACTGCTAAACTTGCTGATTGATTGAGTAATTGATATTATTTTGATACGTCGAGGGTAGTTTGTTGAGCAGATGGCAGCATTGTTTTGTAGAATTTTAGGGTGTAATGGTCAATCGATGATTTTACATTCAATACATTTAATTTAATTTGAGAATTCCAGGATCTCAAATATTTGAAAGAATTGCTAGAACTTCTTAAAGTTTAGAAGCCTTCCTCAAACTTCTCAAGTTTATTTTGATCCCCCAAAAGAATCTGACTCATCAATGTGGACATTTTCCTTTCAGTTTAAAAATAGTCTTGAAATCATCAACATGAGGTAAAAATAAGCAGCATCGTGCAGAAAAATTCAAAGCTGATAAAAATTTTCAATTTCAGTTTTATTTCGTGGTTGATATTTTGTTATTTGTTGATGATCTTGAAATGCGAAAATATGCAAATTGGTTCATTTATTTTTCTACATTTTTGTTGTTGCTCCTCTCCAAAAAATTTCGATTTTATTTCGATAAGTTATTGAATTATAGCAGAAAATCGTTTAAAGTGCGCTCGAAGAAGAATTTTCAAAGTGTTGACGCTTTTTCTTTTCATCCTCAACTGCACCTGTTGTCTGTCTTTATTTGTTGCATTACATATTAATTTTTTATTGCTGTTATTTTATAACATTTAATTTTATGATACTCGGAAGATTTTTTCATGAATCAGTTGTGAATTTTTTTTTATTTCAAATGTTAAAATCGTCAATTAAGCACTTACCTTGGTAATGTGTATTGCCTTGCGAGATACTCATAATAACAATTAATTATTAATTAAAAATCAATGCTATATTAAATGCATTGAATAATTATAAAAAATTATAATTTTATGAACACATGCTTCTTTGTGTGATTATTTGGAAATTGATGATGTGAGGAATTCAGTTTGATTGGCTGGACTTTGTTGGTTTTCTGGTGTGCAATGATGATTATTAAGTTTAAAATTTTTGAATAGATTTTTTTTGGGATTTTGGAGCACGTAGGTTCTGAAATTATTTTTTTGCTTTCTCTAACACCCCCCACTTCTTTGGGTAGGCTTCTGAATTGGTAGATTAATATCTTTTGAGTTTCTTATGTCTGATCCTGCTTCATATAATGTTCTCAACTAGCAATCCTCAAAAATCAAATAATGTACAACTTATTCCATAACCCTAGTATCAGCGCATTATCCACATCCTGCCCACCTAGCATTTAATACTTGTCATTTTTTGTTTTTGTTAAACTTTACTTATCACATCAGAAAAAAACGTCTACTTGTAATCTCATACCTCATACTGTCTTGTGAATAAAAAGTGAAATAAAAACACAACAAAAACAAAAACAATCAATTAAAACATTCAATTGAATGTTTTACTCAAAAAAGCTCACAATGAGCTTTGAATGCTGCATGCTGAATGCTTCATACGAAGCAATTTTATTTCGTACATATTCGAAATTAATCAAGCGAGTGACTTAAGTGTTTTATTTTTAGTTTAAGGTATTGGAAGATAATGAAAATTAGGGAATTAGCAGAATGATTGTGACTTGAAAGTCGGATTCTAAAATTATTAAAACAAAAAATTTGCTCCAAAATTTAGTTCCATTAAGATTAAAATAAAATCCCAAAAGAAATATAAACTGCATTACAAATGATAAAATGAAGCAAAATAAATAAACAGCAACAATAATTTCCTCATGCTTTTTATTTTCGGAGCCATGCAAGGTTTAATGTTTGTATTTTGCACCTTTTATGGAATGCAAAAAGCTATGGGAATTCAAAATGTGTGTGTGTGATTCATATTGATGCTACTGAAACAAAGACAAATAGTTTAGAATTTTGCAATAACAAACAGTTTAACTTATATTATATTATTTTCTTTCATTTCATTAGTTTCGCAGCTTATTGGAGCAACGAGCTCGTGAAAATTCTTCTCAAGGAAGAAACTGTAATAAATGTCCAGCTGGATGCAGTGACTCTTGCACAATACATCCAGTACAACAAGGAGAAGTCTCATCAACTGAACCGCCATTACCTGAACCATCGATTAACGGCCACTCACCTGAAAAGTCTGCATACTTTGAAGCCGTTCAACATTATATTAGTAACGTTGGTTGGGCCTTACTTGAAATTAATTCAGAAGGCTACATTGAATGTGCTACGGAAAACGTAAGGGAAGTTTTACAATATTCAAGACAAGAATTGTGTGGACAACCGATTTATTCGTACCTGCATACTGGTGACCATAATAAAATAAGTCCAATTCTCGATAAAAATACATTAAGTTTTGATTGGGAACACGATGAGGGTTCACATGTAAGTACTTCTTGTAATAATTCTTTTTCTCATTAAATAACTTTACTATGCTTGTAGACATTTGCACAAACCCCAAAGCGTACAGTAAGAATTAGATGGCTTTTGAAATCACCAGAAGAAACACTTGAACAAAGACAGCAACGTTCGAATCGTTATAAAGATATATTAATTATCTCAGCTCCTGTTAAAGACGATACTGATGAGTCGTCCTCGGTGTTGTGTCTCATTACACTACCCGAAGACGATCAATCAATGGATACAAATATGCCACCATTAAATGAACAGCTTACGATTCGTATTGATTCCGATGGTAAAATTATAAAAGTGGATGCGTCACAATTGCGAGCACAATTTGCCACATTTTTAACCAAAGAAATTGGACACGGAATTACTCAGCTTGTACATCCACAAGATCGACAACGGCTCTTGTTGCATTTAAAGGAAGTTATTCAGCAGGGCCAAACCGATGCTCAAATAACAAATTATCGATTAATGATTGGTCCAGAACATTATGTACATACAAAAGTTCAATCAAGAATGTTCAGAAGTGACGTTGCTGGCGAACCAGATTTCGTAATGGCAATCCATGAGATTCTATCAGACAGTGAAATTATGAATATTGAGGGTGCAAGCTTCTCGGGAATGATTCCAAGTATGAATCATACAATGTCAGCACAAGGTATGCTGATGAAACAACATACCCAAGGACTCGGTATTGGTGGACCGTTGCTTGGAAGTCACATCATTAACGGTGGTTCATTGTCACAAATATCACCAAGACACAGCCAAAATGCTCTATTAAATGATACTCCAATGATACCTGCACCAAATTTCAGTGAAATCTTCCAACCCGAATTTGATTTTGATTTTACGAGTCCAGCATTCGATATTGAGAACCAACTCATTGACTCGAGACCAGAGTCTCGTGCCAGTATGGGATCTGTTAGTACACCACGTCCATCATCAGCTACAGCCGCATTTAGTCCAGCTACAGCACCAATGTGTCCATCACCATTAACACCCTATAGCCAGCCAAGTCCTGCTAGCATTACAAACAATAACAATACAACAATGACTAATAATAATTTGACTAATAATAATAACAACAATAATAATGCAGCATGTGGTAGCAATAATACATCATCAGGATTCAATAGTGCCGGTTCAAATCATTCAGGATCGTTCCAGTTTAGCTTCGATGAAAAGGAGAAGGTTCAGGAACAATTGCAAAAGATGCAACAAAAACAACAGGAAAATAATACTTCAGAACGTTTGAGAAACTTGCTAATGAAGAGTCCAGTTGATGATGAACAGCAACGAAAGAATCAAATATTGAAGGTAAATTGAATTTTTATTAAATTTCATTGAATTCATCGAACTGAAAATACATGATTTTATTTCTTAGACTTTATTGAACGCTGACGACGAAAAGGATGGTTCGCAAAAGCACAAAATGAATCCATTGACAGAATTTAATCAACATCCAACTCAACGACCAAGATCTGTTACATCAGGTGTAAAAAGTGATAACAATATGTTGTTACAGGTAAGCCTTCAATTAATTGATTTAAGCTTTGGAGCCGTTCACTTATTACGTTACGCAAAAAAAACGACTTTTTTCACCCCCCCCCCCCTCCCCCCTTGTTACAATATGTTACAACTCACAACCCCCCCCCCCCCCTGAACGTTCATAATTCATAAAAAAGGTAAAAAATTTAAAAAAATGTTTTTGGTGTGAATTTGTAAACAAATTTTTTTCATGAATTTTTTTTCAAAAGACAGACGACAGATAGAACGTAACATACTTCTTGACACCCCCCCCCCCCCCCTTTGTTACATTTTGTTACAATTTTTCGAACCCCCCTCCCCCCTAAAATGCGAACGTAATAAGTGAACGCTGTTGATCGCATCTAATAAAATTCCAATTTTAAGTTATTGAACGAAAAGTCCGATGAGGATGATTCCAATAGTAAGCACAGCGAACTCTTGAAATGCTTACAAAATCCAACAAAAGACCAGAGAGAATTGAATAATAATGGAGATCTAGATAATGAGGCCTTGAAGCAGCGCCTTCGCTTCCAAGGTAGTTTCGAGGGAAACAGTCGTAAACGTCCTAGTGATGAATCGGACGATGGTAATCCTGGTGCACCGAAAAGTCGATTATCAAACTTACAACAAAAGAATAGAATGTTGGCGCAATTACTTGCTGGTCCTAGTCGTCCATTAAATACATCAGCGCTAAGCAACTTGCAAAGTATTTCTGTTGTACGACAAATGCCTGATATTGCGCATCTTTCAGCCAAGCAACTCTCATTGGATAATCAGCAACAAGCATCTACACCAAATCAAAATATTCCAAATAATAATAGTAAAACCATGAACAATAATAATAATTCAGTTACAAAGAATAATAACCTTAAGACGAGTCAACAGCAAAAGAGTAGACAACAGAATTTAATTCGACAGCAGAGCATGCCGAGTGGTAAGAATTTAAAGCAAATGGGCGAGCATGTTTATTTGGCACAATTGCAGAGCCATCAACAGCAGCAAATGGCGATGAGTAGAGCCGCAAATGTGCTTACCTCAAGTGCAAACAGCCAAAGTCCCTTTGACGGAGGTGACGGCAATCAATTTGTTACATCATCACCAGCTATTACGTTAGCAGCAGCCTCTTCATCTTCCACAATCCAATCCGATTCCGTAATCGATCCTGAACTCAACGATATTCTCGAAAATTTATTCGACGATGGAAGTTACAACGAAGATCCTACGATGAATTTTTTACAAAATGTTAATAATATTAATAATAATGCGCAGCTTAAGCAACAAGAAGAGTTGGCACAGATTAATAAAATACAGCAATCTTTAATGGAGTGTGAGGATGAGGCAAATTTTAGCGGTAGTCCACCGGCATATCCATTAGCAGCATTAACTGCACAAGCACGACTTCAACAAGCTGGATACTCGCAACCTCCACCAGGATATAACCAACAACGTAATATTCGTTTGCCACAAATGAGCAGCGTGACGAGCAATAACAGTAATAATACTAGTAATAACAATAATATTGTGACCAATTCAAATACCACAGCTGCTGCTCAGACAACTAACATCCAAAAGAATATCAACACAGTTCTTGCTGAGCGATTTCGTTTACAGCAGCAGCAACAATTGGAACAAAAGCATCGATTATTACAGCAGCAACAGAATCAACAGATTGTTGTGACAGCTGGTGCTGATCAGATGTGTAAGTATGCTGAATAGCTCCTTGTTTCTCAAACGTTTTCAGACATCACCAATGTCACCTTAACTCTTAACGAATCTTAACTTGAACTAATGTGACAACTGTGCTTTTATCCTTTCAGGTCTCCCAAATACTGGAGTACAAAGTATTGATTCCTTATTGAACAATACAGTCGCGCCAAATGTAACATTAACAAGTCGTGGTAAAATGGTGCCTGACTCACAACTTAGTCCCAACTTCCCTCAGTCTCTCATGCATCAACAATTAAGTCCAAATCAACAAAGAACTAATAATATTGTTCCATTTAGCTCTCAAGCCAATCAAAGTATGAATAATCACCATTTCCTCACTGTTCCTCATTGTTTAATAAATTAATTTTATTTTTTGTAGCCTTTCAACAAAATTCATTTAATACAAATGGTGGTCAACGACTCTCACCTCAACAACAACAGCAACAACAAATAAATCAGCAACTCATCAATACCTTCCAAGCGGCTAATGCTGCGAATGCTACTAATGCATCGCAATTATCGCCACGTCAACCTCCTTTCAATCTACAACCAAATACACAAGTGCAAGCCACTCAAGCCAATTGGAATCAACAACAGCAACCTAATAATATAAGATTGAGCTTGCAGCAGACTAATCCGATGCTTAATGCTCAGTTGAACGTGAGTATTATTTTTAATTTCTAGTTTATGGTATAGTTTGGGTCTAGTTGAGCTAGTTTCAAGTTTTGAGGTAATTTAACTACATTTGAGACTTGAACCTGAAACTTTATGAATAATCGAGGATTCAAATCGCTCGGCAAGAGTTTCAGATTTTCCTGATATGGCTCGGTATCCTCATATTGTGACATTAATTCTATTAATCCTCTAATTTTAGCAACAAAACGTCAATACCTTCACAAATCAACGACAAATGATCGCTCAGCGACAAAGGTCCTTAAACTCACCAGGAACGCCTGTCCGACAAAATAGTTTCAACAGTTCCGACTTCCCCGAACCTCCAAGTCCATCCGCTCAGCAACAATATAGTAATAATATTTTTAATCAACAACAAATGAGACTTCAAAGAACACAGAGTGTCCCTCAGGCTACCCAACATTTGCCAGGTTTGTAGCTTACTTTATTGTCAACTTTTCCATTAAATTATTTTTGCATTCATCAAAAAAAAAAAAGATCCAAAAAAGACTGAAAAAAGTTAAATTAAAAAATGGAAAAAATTCATTCGTTTCGAGCTTCTTTTGAAAAATAAAAAAAAATCATCTTCCATTAATCATTTATGCTCACAGCATAGATCACAAAAATTAATATCGCTGGTTAAAATTTAATATAAAAAAAAATATAAAAGAAAACAAATCAAATCTTATCCACAGGCTCGCCACGTCCATACGGACCGGGTCTGACAGATAGCCCGAGTGGCTTCCCTCACTCTCACAATATGATGTATTCTCCGGGGGGTGGTACTGACTTTTACAGAGTTAATCAGACTGGTAAGGATGATCTCATTGTCGTCTACCTTCTACTTCTTATTCGTTATTTTTGCAAAAAAAAAAATATTTTTAAGATGTGCAAAGAATGTTGTTTTTTTAATATGACTGAATGTTTCTCACGCTCAAGTAAATAATAAGAAAAAAATAATTATACTAAGCACATTTATCACACAACAATTCACAAATTTTTTTTTTAATCATAAAGTCTCTTGCGACTTATTGATGTTTGTTATGTTGTTATTTGAGCTAGCAGCAAAAATCCAAAATTTATAAACCTACATGAAATGGGTTGGCTAGAACTATTTACATACATTTCGATTAATTAAATGTTGCACATGATATTATGTAAATATACAAGAATTTTTTTTATATATATTGTATTGCTATGCTAAAGCTATAAAGCTACAAACAATAGTATTATTTCGGTCTGTAAATATTCAAAAAAATAAATAAGTTGTTTCCATATCAATGTTCGCATCCATACTCAATGGGATCATCATCATCATCATCATCATTGTAATCATTTTTCATATTCAATCATTATTTGAGCTAGAAGAAAATTTTATGTTTCTAACCACACCACACATATACACACATCTCTTTCTGTCTATTGATGTCATGTCATTAATAAAATTCATATGAAAAATCATTAATGTAACTAACCACATGCTGTTGTTCTCTTGTCTATACTGTACTTTTGTTTCTTATGGGAATTACATCAATTTTTACACAATCAAAAAATTATTTATTGACTTTGGCACCTGTGAACGGATTGATTTCGTAAATTTCACTCACAGTTGCTTTTTTTGGGGGTTTGAAAACAAAATTGTTTTTTTTGATATTTTTGGGACAAAATAAAATATTTGTGAGGGATGAAAAAAAAATCACTTTTATGATGAATGTTTTACATTTTATATAAAAATATAAAATATATGTTTGTGAAAATGTGGAAATAGTTTATTTTTGGAAACTGGGTTAAGGAAGATTTGGGTTAAGAAACACAATTGATTTGAACATTTAAGGAGGATGGAGGACTCCAGAAGCTGTTTTTGCAATTATATTTGATTGAAAGTTTTCTAGTTTTGACATTTAATATGCCTATCCTCATTTATATCAAATATTCACTTATTATTTGATGGTTTTGCCAAATGACCAATACTTGTGCCAAAACCATCTTACCTACTTCATCAATGGTTCCAGCTAAGGCGTTTACACTAAGGATTAATCCCAAACAATCCCAGCACTTCCTTGCTTTAGTTAAGGAATAATGGGATTTCAAGAGAGATTCAAAGTTTGATCCAAAGTTTGAAACCAATTTCAAGTTATATTTGAGCTCTTTTATGAGCTAGTCATTTAATTGCATACTTCAGCGACATGAAAATATACAGGAATTCGTAAGAATTTTTCAAATAGTTGCCAATTCGAAACGTGTGTCCACAGTGTATGCAAAATTCGTCAATTAAACTGAGAATTCTTGATATTTGATTGATTTGATGGGAATTGAACCCACGACCTTAAAAGAGGCGATTTCTGACAACTTGATCAGAGATCCCTGCCACTCGGGCACTGAGGTACTTTTTTCATTTCGGTTATCATTCAAACACATTTAACCAGTTTCAACGCGAGCCCTATGCTCAGACCTATCTATTACAGATAAACTCTTCGAGCCATATCCAAATCTGGATCCCCCTAGTGATTTTTAATATTGAAGATATTCAAATATGTCTAGAAATCACCATTAAAATCACATTGAATGTCCTTAGAAAAAATACTGCGTATAAAATCAAGTCATAACTCCATTTATTCCAAAAATATTCACAATGCGTAAATATTGTGATATCTTCAATCTAGTCAATACATCTGTGTCACAAAATTGACACCATTTGACAAGTAATATTTACAACCATGTCAAATATAAATAGAACAATGCTTCCGTTCCCTCAAAAGAAAAAGTAAACAAAAAAGTCGAAAATTCTTTCCACATTTTCACAAAAATTACACCTTCAATGTACTGTAAATGATCATCACAATAAATCAATGCTAAAAAATGTTCCAGATTATTTATAATTCAAATAAATCTCAAAAACTTTTTTTTTCTTCTTTTCTTTCTTTCACATCCAATGCCTGTAATCACACCATAGGTGGACAAAATAATGGTCTCAATTCACAAATGGTGCGACAAGGCTTACGAGCTGTTGTAAGTGGACGACAAACGGTGGGAAATGGGAGTGGGGCAAATAATGGCATACGAAGAAATATGAGTAGTCCATTAGACACGCTAGTGGGAGGACCGAATGGAAATGGCAACTTAGTTGAGACAAATACGAATCCAAACAATCCAAATAACAATCTTATGATTAATCAGCAACAACAACAACAACAAACACAGCAGCAACAATTGCCTAATCAAATGATCAATGCCGATATGGATCCAACGATGAGATTCGGTTTTGAGATGCCACAAGGTAAGAGATTTTGTTGTTATTTCATATAAATTGTAGATAATAAGTTTCTATTACTGATGACTATGCGTTGAAATTATGGATAAATGGGGGTTGAAGGTAATGACTGGTATTGCTTACTTTTGAGCGGATGTCATTATTTTTGGAGTTTTAATATTTGATTCTTAACATTTTTGGATGAATCTTTGCTATATTAATTTAATAGTTTATTTAAAGTAGGTCATAAACGATAAGAGCCTTTTTTTTGTGACTATCAATTTTTTGAGATTATAGTTTAAGATAGAAATTCGTCCATAGTGGTTTATGTGGATATGGCTCGAAGAGCATATCTGTAGTAGATAGGTCTAAGCACAGGGCTCGCGTTGAAACTGGTTATATGTGTATGACGGATAGCCGAAATGAGATAAGTCCTGCCGATGGTCGAGTGACAGGGATATCTGATCGAGTGGTCAAATATCACTTCTTTTGAGGTTGTGGGTTCGATTCCCATCGAACCCGGATTGTTTTACATTAGTATACACATATAGCAGTTATAAAGATAGATTATTTTGATTATAAACAAATATTGAAGACATCAAGAGAACAGCCTATACCCAAATATTGATCAACTTGATTGATTTGTAATTCGAAATAATTTTTCAATTTTGAAGCTCATTTTTGATCAATTCTTAAATTCAATACCAGATTCAAAACTCCTCAACCCCCACAACCCAATCAATCCCTTCTACATAAAATAATATCTATTCCAATTACGTGAGATGCTTAAGATTCTTCCCATGTTGAAGAACAAAAACAAAATGTTTAGTAATTTTTGCTAAAAACAAATTTCCATTTCTTTTTTCCTATGAAAATTGGCTGTCACGATACAGGTACAACAAACGTTGAAACCAAATTGACAGCTCCTCCTACTCAATGTTGGAGTGGTGGAAACTCAAACAATTCACGGGTAAGGTTTCGCGCGTTTAGTGTGCTTTCGAATATATTTTTTTTTCTAATTTCTTTTGATTTTTTTAATTCGCTTCATAAATAAAAAAAAAAAATCCCGTAAAAAACATATTCAGCATTAAAAAATACCTTAATTTTGTCTTGTAGAATGTTTGAGTTTTATTTTATATGATTTGTTATATATTTTTTCTGTATAACTTCCCCTCACCACTTTTATATATATTTTATATTATATTTCTTATAACGTTTACATTATATGCATTTATCCGTATGTTATGTTTTTAAGCTTTTATGTCTCACTTGTCATTTGCAATTTCACTCATGACATGACTCACATTTTACTCTCATTTTGAGCGCATTTTCTTCATTTTTAACCTAAAGAAAGTGTCGAGTTTGTTTGCCATTATGCTTCTTTTTGATGAAAATAAAATAGCAACTTGATTGCAGATATTTGCCATTTTGCTCTTTAAAGCAGTGTTTCTCAAACTCTCATATTTCTGTGCCACATCAGTTAGAACAATAGTCCTTTGTAGATCATAGTTTGAGAACTCCTGCTTTAAAGGTTTTGAATGGATGTTTAAAAATAGAAAGTAAAATATACTCGTATCTAGGTCGCTTGCTGTTATCGCTCAAGCTTTTCCTGTTAGAAGCTTGAGTAAATGTTGTATAAATATTGTAAAAATCTTGAGTAAAGTTTTATTATCGCATTAAATGTCAGAATCGTGGTTGTTATCATGGAATTATTGTTTGTGCTTTTAGTTGCCATGAACATTAATAAAATACTTTAAAAAAAACTTTTTTTAAAAAAGCACGCTTTTATTTCCGATTACAGAGCACTAAAAAGAAGAAAATAATTTTTTTTGCTAAGCTCTCAAATTTGATACAAAATTTTATGACTCAAAATAAAAGCGTGGGGCGTTTAATATAAACTAGCTCTAGATTTTCTAAAATTTATTTGAATTCAGTTTAATTATCCATTTCTTAATTCAACTTTTGTATTAAAACGAAAGAGCTTTTAACGTTTTGATCTCAAATTATTTTTTGACACAAAGGAACTAGTTTGATTTAGCAGGAGAGTAAGACTTGATTTCTAGTGCCACACAGAAAACTCTACATTAATCTCATACGGCCTGTTTCACTAAAGTGGATTATCCTCGATTTCGGATTATCCATTTCAGTTTTTTGTAAATATCTTAAACTTTATGGGAGGTGTGGTATTTCTAATTTTGGATTATAAAAAAGTGAAGTATGCCTGAAATTTTTGTACACTTTAAACTTTTACTTTTCATTAAGAAGTATTAATTATTCAATTTTCTAGCCAAATCTAGAAGATTAATTTCAATTTTTGCTATAATTCTCAAACTAATGAAGATATAAAAATTCTTAGTATATGTTAATTTAAGTAGCAAAGTACTTTAAGGAGATCACACTTTAGATCTCTTAATAACCTTAAGCGTCTGGAGATATTTCCGAAAAACTGAAGTAGATAATCCGAAATCAAGGATAATCCACTTTAGTGAAACAGGCCGATAAAGATCAAGTCTACCGTCTCAGATTTACCATAATTTGTATGGGCTCATCATTCTCCTTAGACAAACCTATAAACATTGAAGACCTAACGCTTATGTAAACATACAAATTCAAGATTAAGTGATATTTATAACAGCGCCCCACGCTTTTATTTTGAGTCATAAAATTTTGTATCAAATTTGAGAGCTTAGCAAAAAAAATTATTTTCTTCTTTTTAGTGCTCTGTAATCGGAAATAAAAGCGTGCTTTTTTAAAAAAAGTTTTTTTTAAAGTATTTTATTTTCTACTTTTTAGTCTTTAAAATCTCCAAATCGATTCAACTTTCAAAATTCTAAACTTCACTTAGTTTCACTCCGTTTCGTTCAACTATTTATTGAATACCAGTTTTTAATGGGTAATTAGTAAAGACTATCAAAATTTTTCATTCGTTTTATATAATTTAATTCATACTTGGAAACACATTAAACTCTTAAAAGTGTCCTGAACATCAATTAGTAAAGTACATTAAAAATCAATCATAAAGATTTGGTGTTTATTCGTACCATTTCTACTTAATACTAAAGTATTTATAACGGATTTTTCAAATTTAATTTTAATGAATGTCATTTATATGTTATGCAAAACTACGTCAAGCCTTTGATAAAAAGAAAGTGAATTTCATTAAATGTTAGTCAATTGTTAAGAATCAATCAAATACATTAAAAGCATATATATTATGCTCAAACGATGTGTGCTAAATGCATATTTGCATATCAATAGTTATTTTGTATTAAAAACGTAACTGACTTGCGGTTAACGGTTTTTCTAAAATTCAAATTTTCACTTACGAATATCCATGAAAAAATTACTTGTCAATTTTTTTACTGGTCTTACCAGAATATCTTTAGCTATTCAAATTTATAATAATTAATAATATTAATTAAACTATAATGAATCATGTAAATGACTTTTGAACATTTCAAGTATAATATTTTAAACAAATCAAAATTATATGTCATTGACATTGGATTTTTTCCCATATAAAAAAAGTTTTACTTAAATTGTACTATAATTAAGCATTTTTGTGGTTCCAAAGTGTTAAAATATTGTATTGTCACCGAGAATAAGTGTGCATAAAAAATTTGAGCTCGATTGGAGCAGTAGAAGTGATCGAAATAACGATTACAAAATTTGACGCATGAAACATACAAACAGTGTGAGTTAAATAAAAGCGTGTAAAATACTGCCATTCATTGCATGTTTATGTGATTTTCTACAAATTGAAGATTCTCGAGCAATATAACGTTCATTTTTAGATTCAAATAATATGTATATGACATAGTTATTTGCCCCGTTTCATATAAATATTCTGACCTGATGTGAACAATTCGAGAATTTTAACCGTTACAGTTACCTAGAAAACTATTTTAAAGTGCTTATTTGTCTATCTGCAATACAAAATTCGTAGTTTCATACCCTGCAGTTCGAAATATTCGAAAATCTAGAACAAATTAATAATTTCGATAAGTCTCTCGAACATGAATAATTCACAGCAGATTCAGACTTCAACAAAAATTTGTACAGTAAATAATAATATTGTATTATTTAAAACGAGCTCAGTATTTTATTGATTCGTATGTAATTTATTAAGTTTCTAAAGTTACAAAAGCATCAATTATATTTACAAAATTAAAGATTCTAGTCAAAATTTGTTTGCTCTCGTGTGTCAAATACTTTATTTGGAGCTATGGTCTTAGAATAATCTTAGATGAGCAGTTTTAAAGTTTCATGCCTGCTGCTGCAACTGTTTCCTTTTAACAATCTGTTTTCAAAAGGTTTTCCAAAGTTATATAAGATAAATGCTGAATCGACAATTGTCCTTTTTGTAAAAAGTTTTTGTTTTTAAATTCCCAGTGGGACTTTTAATTTATAGAAATGTTGTTATGTCCCATACTTCCAATCCTTTATAGATAAACCACAGGATCTTAATAAGTCTATGTTGATTATTATTAGATTCATTATTATCATTAGGTCATTTTTGGCAGCAAACTATTAAACGTGATGTAAATTATGATCAAATATGTACCAAAATTTGAAGAAAATGCGCTTTAAGCATTACCACATATTTAACTCATTTTGTTTTTTTCGTACATAAACTTTTTTCTTATTTATTTTTCACCCCAAATATTTGACATTATTTTGTTTCTTATCGTCTTTTGCAGATTTCTTTGGAGGAACGAACCGGTGACCCGAACAGTTCACTTCTCCGTCAAAAGCTACTCTCAGACTAGCATAAGCGATATTAAGAACCCCGAAGGCATCTCAAATAAATCAGGAATCCATGATGAGAATAAAACAAAAATGGAAAGATAAAAAAAATGAAAAAAAAACACAAGAATTATTAATGATTAAATATTAACGAGTGATATACGATTTTTATATAAATATATATGATAATATTAAAGAATAATAATAATATTAATGATAATATCCTGAAGCGGGAAAAGAAAAAAAAATTAAGAAAATAATTTAGATAAGTTTAGATTTATTATTTCGGGATGTAAAACATTTAAAAAAATTTGAAGAAAGAAGATGATTTAAATATATGAAGATAAAAAAAATATCTAACATTAAAAAAATTAACAATAAAGAAATATTTTTTTAGCTCTCTCACTCGCTTTCTCACTTCCTGAGTGTCTATAACAGTGAGGATGATTACATCTACAAAAAAAAATAAATAATATAAAACTAGACGTGACTATAGTCGAGGGAGAGAGATGAAGAAACCTAATTGTGATGATTCTAATATTTTATTAATCCATTTTTTGTTGTTTTTTTATTATTACTATATTATTATTATTATTATTTTTATTATTACTATTATACTTTTAAGTTTAAGATGATTTTTCATGTAGTTTTTAAGTTTACAAGTTTGTATATATTGAAGTTAATTGATTAATTTTTTTCCCCTCTAACTTTCACAAGCTTTTTGCAATCAAATTTGATGCTAGTGGAATTTTTTAAGTAAGCTATCTTTGAGTACATTTTTAGCTCTTAATGTATTTAAGCTACCTCAAATTTACTCACAATTAAAAAAATTGACAAATCTACTCGAAACAGTAAATATCAATTTTTGTCCTTTAAATTCACAGAAGTTAGCTGAATCATTGCTGAATTCTATGAAACTTGAATTTTCCAATAGCTACAAAAGACAATTCTCAAATCAAAATTCATCAAAAATATTACAGTAAATAAATAAATCCTAGCAAATAAAAGCTAGTGAGTCTAATGACCTAAAAGCATTGAAATCTAGTTCAGCAATGCACAGATTTTTTTGATGATTTTTGTTATGAGAAATTTGATTGCAAAAGTTTGAAAAAATACAAAAAAAAAATAATTTGATCAGTTGAAAAGATTGCAGGAAACCTTTTTTTGTTATTGATGCGAATGTGAAAAAAAAACAAATTCTTTCAATAAAGGCAAAATTTTTAAGACCAGATATGATTTGATGAGAATTTATTAAAATTGGAAATGAGGAGATTTTTCATAGGATTAAAAAAAATATTTGAGAAATTGTTTCTGTAGTCAGGTAAAAGTCATCGAATGACGTTCTGTCGAGAAAAATAGGTAAAATTTTTATTATTATTTGGATTTCTTGTCTTGATTTTTTTTTTTTTGAAAAATAAGGACCGATTTGGGTTACGCAAAGAACACTTGAATTCATTTAATCAACTTTTCATTTAACTTTTCAAAATCTATCTCTGATCCGTCTAGAAATCTAATTTGATTTAACACGCAACTTCATAAGAAGTATTGCCAGAAATTTTGTGATTGAATAATGGATTTTTTTTGAAATTTTGAAAAATTATTCATTGATGAGGCAAGGTTTGATCTTCAGAACTCCTTCTGTTGCACCACTACTAAACTTGTATTAGAATTTTTGCAGCATTGATTTGAAACCCTTTCAATTAGCTAATTGGCTTTGATTGGTATTAAGTAAGTTTTCAAAATTGACAGAAATTAAAAACAAATCTAAAATTTAAAAGAATTTTTTTCATCTTAAATTTAATTTTCTTTTTAAAAAAAAAAATTAAGTCTATGGATAAGTCAAGCATCAACTCAGTTAAATCTAAAAATAAAGCAAAATTATCACTTTGAAATATAAAGAAAAAAATATCAATGATAAACAAGTTCATCTGGGATGACAATTCTCCCTAGTTACATCTGATATAAAAATCGGATTGAATATTGATTTACGATCCTAAAAGAATTTGACCGAGAAATTTCTATCCTTAACTCCTACATATGCTTTTTATGAGGAACAAAAATATTCAAATTTTCACAGAGTACATTTCAATGGGATCGTGCCTGAAAAATAGATATTATCGATAACAAAAAGACTTTTTCTTTCGATTCTATGCAAAAATCTTTTCATTCCTTATTCTACAATGCAAAAAAGGAGAGAAAAAAATATGAAAGTTGGACGGAAATTCAAGATTGATAAAGAAAAAGGAAAAAAATTCTTATTACATTACTTTTATTATTGTTATTATCAGGGATTGGGATATTTGACAGATTTTTGTGATAGGAAATTTTTCATAAAATGAAGCAGGAAATTGAGTTAAAATTAAATTTTCCTAAAAAGGAAGTTGAAAAAAACAAATGAATAAAGAAAATTTTGAGGATTATTTAAACTGAATTATTTTTTGTTTTTGAAGTAGATGTTATGGATAATTGGAGATGTTAATCAAATGTTAGGATAGATGGATGTGGATGTTATAATGTTAAGGTTGCTGTAAACTAAATGTACATCCAGGGATGCCCAAAATGTGCGGATTGGTTATATAGAAATTCAGGTTTAAGATTTCAATTTTTAAACAAGCAATCTTCACCCGAAAGACACCGGTTGAAGTGGAACTGACGTTAGCTAATCGTAAAACTAGTTCAAATTGTGAATTTTGAGCTAGGCAGGCACAGAGATGGTTTAAGAGCTAAGATAAGAAATAATGAATCTACGTTGAATGCTTGTAGAAATGGCATCAACTCTAGGTTGTACTTTCGGGGTTCTTATTAAAAATCAATTTTAAATCTCAAAATTTTTCTTCATTTTAATTCAAATTTCCTAAAAGAAAACTCTGTCAAAATTAAAATTCCCACCCACTGAATATTACTATTATTATTACAATACTATTATTATTATTATTCTTATTATCATTATAATTTTTTGGGGCATATTCTTAAATAATAACAAAAAAGATCTAAAAATAATAAAATATGAAGAAGAATAAAAAAATGGAAGAGGATACGAAAATAAGGATACAAAGCAGAGTCATGTTTATGGTTAAAGCATAAACTGACATGAAAATAGAAATACCTCTATTTTAGTTCAAAAGCAAAGAAACCACACACATACAAATTATTAGATGAAAAATGAAGAAGAAAAAAAATTAAATTAAAGAAAAACAAAAAAATAACTCAAGAAGAAAAAAAAATGTTAATTGTGTAAAAAAATGCAGTTGTATTTTTTGTATTTTTCATTAATATTAATACTTGATAATACTAGATATTAATTTTTTAATAAAAAAAGTAAAATAATAAAAAATCGTTGATAACAGCATTAAAATAAATCAGTGAAATATTTAGCGATGCGTATCAAATACTCACAAATTGTTGTTTGCATCATCCAACTACGATTGAGGTTTATTATCTGCTTCCGCGTGGAAGTTTAAGACACTTAAAAAAATAAGAACAATTTCTTCGTATTGTGAATGAAAAATGGACACAAAAAATTGTGAAAAAAAGTGAAAAAAATGTGAAAAATGATGAGAAAAATCCTTCTTATCCATGTGCTGTTTTAAGTTAATTATTAATTATTCTCAACACACATAACAGGAAGGTCATTTGTGATGATCAACATTTTGGGGCTAAGGGGTATACTGGGAGCTATTTAACAGCTCAAATAGTAATTTTGAGAGCAATCAAATGTAACTATCGAGTACCAACTCCCTCATGACACCTCCTTAGCTTCTCAAAGTTGGATAAAAATCCTATTTTATGATGGGCACCATTAGTGACTGACCCTAGAAGAGAATGAAAAATAGTTGAGCATTAATCTTCTTACTAATGATCCACATCCAACTACAAAACAAAATAATTGGACAAAAAACGAGTAAATAATGAATAAATTTAAAAGATATATATACAAAAAAAATTAAATGAAAGAAGATTAAGGAAATACTATTCTAATTTTGTATATCGTGTGTAAATAATTCTCGGTTAAGTAAAGTTAATTTCTCTCTTTATGATGGTTCTAAAGAAAAAAAAAACCTAGAGTATATAATTGAGACTCAATTTGCAAAAAAGATAAATAAAAAATACAACAACAAAAAACATAATTAATTCTATCCCTAATTAATCTACATATTATCTTAATATACATAACTGTAAAAAGAGATAATTATGGATAAAAAATGAATGAATTTATTCGCATAAGTTATACACAACAACAAATACAAAGAAAAATAATTTTTTCATTTTACTTTCATATTCATATTTTTCGTCCTCAATTTCCATTTTTCCATATCTTATAAATCTCCTTCTCTTTCTCTTACACTATTCGTCGATTTCACTATGAATGAGGATGTTTGAGGTATCGTGTTGCTTTGGAAAAGTCGATAAAGTCCAAGTAGTTTTTTTTTTGTTTTCAGATAATTTTATAAATCTTTGTTCATAGTTTCTTTATTTTTAAAATTTACAAGATAAGCTAGTTTAATTGATATTAAAATCGATATTTGATTTTTTACAGCAACGTGGGTAAAAACTGAATAAATGAGCATTTAATGAAATGTCTTGTGATTATTATTTAAGGTTTATTGGTTGTAAGCTGATTGAAAATCAGTTTTTGTCTTTGAATATCTGAGTAAGTAGGTTTGTTTTTTATTTATTTTTTATTTAATTATTAAGGTGTAGCAAGCTTGTAGCCAAGGTGGGGGTAAATTTGGATGTTCTTTTTAGGGTTTTTATAAAAAAAAACCTAAAAATGTCCGCCCGCGCTTCCTTCAAATTCCTGGCTACGCTCTTGAGGAGTAGTTTGCTTATTACGTTTAAAATTAATGGGAAGTTTGTTTAGGGTTTTTAATTTGCAAGTTGTCGAAAGTTCCAACCCCTTGGTTTGAAACCAATGAAAAGAAAAATTATACAAACGTTTTTAAAACGTGCTGGGGGGGAGGGGGTGGGGTCAAAAAAGAACTTTTTCTTTGAGTAACGTAATAAGTGAACTAAGGTCAATTTT